TTCAATAGAAAATTCTGTCGGTGAAGTCCATGGTACCAAACAATTGTCATGAGTACTCTCAGTAATATGCCTAAAGGTAGGTAATCACGATTTTGGCAATTTAACTCCGACTCCAAATTAGGTTTAGATATGCGCTTATCACTTTCTGTTTCACGCATGTATCTTGTCATATTCAAATCCGTCAGCTCATAAATAAATGATATCAAATGTGCAAGTGCATCAGCTGACTGTGTAACTTTATGCCATACTGCAACACTGATTAATATCAGGATATTTGACTTAAAGCCACTTCCTACTTTTCTCCATAACTTCATTATGTTTGGATCTTCACTTCCCGCATAATTCTAAATAAAAAAATTGAGCGGACTACTGAGTTTATCATTGTCTGAACTTGAAACTACGATTATGACAATACCCATTGGCCCTTTTGTCGTTATCTTATCACAGATAAAGGAACTAGTGATAAGGATATTAGCAATGATTTTATGATTTTATACGCACGTGATCCCATCCTTTAAAATAGATGGTATACGATCTTAGCAATCTCCACACCAATTACATGCCTGTTCTTGGTCCTAATATTCCTTTCCTTGTCCTCTATACGAGGTGTCCGCCAAAATCGTCCGAGTTTATATGCCGATATTTGTGGGTAATCCCCGGGAGGACTTCCATATAAAAGTGAAGGGCTGCTCGTCGGAAAATTAATAATTTATTATTTAAACCCCTAAGGGAGGCCAATGTGGGTGTGGCTCAAGCTTAAACTGACCCCTAAAGGAGATTTCTGTGAGGTCAGCGTCACCGCGTTTTTTTTTGGCAAATTTCTTTATGCACAGCCTTAAGCGATACCTGAATGAGCATATTTAGGTACTTTCCGTCCCAAACAACCGAAGTGAGACCAAAATCTGCAAACGACGAGCACCCACGTCACCTTTGTATGGGAGTCCTCCTGGGGAAGCAGATCACCATCTGTTCCACTTGATTTTTCGTAAGGTCAATGATTACCATCTTTTGAGAGTATTGGGTCGGCTTCACTTAGTTCAGACTTCGATGGATGACACATTTCATGGTAAGAAGTAATGGTGTCCTGACAATCATGTACTTTTATCAGTTGGGAAAAACGCGTGAACTTCCACACTTTATTTTGTTGTTACTTTCACTGATGTTGCACGATTCGAAATTAACGTTGAAACTTTATTATTTGCGTGTGCCAACTTCTTTATTAACTGGCTGCGATACAAAAGTAGCCTTAGACTCCAGACTGTCTCTTGGAGCGTGAAAACAAACGCTGACCACTGTTAATAGGACGAAACAGTCAGGAAATGGAAGAAACCTACTAACTGAAATTTCATTAACAAAGTCTTCAAATATGGGCTCCTGATCAGTGGAAGGTAAATAAAGGGAAAATTGTAAGTCGCCGTTCACAGTCCAGTACTATCGCCCCATATTAGCGAATACAAGACAGTCGTGGATTCTGGATCCCATTCCATGGATTCAGGATTCCGGGTGCTGGATTCCAGTCTTTTCCGGTGGAATTTAATTCCTTAGTAGGGTGCTTGAGCTCTATTCTGGATTCCAAAGCCCTGGATTCGGGATTTCATATCAAAATTTTCCCGGATTCCGGATCCTACAAGCAAAAATTTTCCAGTTTCCGGAATCCGGATACCCTTACGTGGGGCGAAGTACAAGTCAAACATTTTCTGACCTGTTCACGCATATTTAATTAAGCAGTGGGAAATTTACTTTTCTTCTAACGTTCGATTTTATAATATGATGGATCGGAGTAACGTCTGGTCAATGCAGCTTTTTCAGACTGGACCACATTTTAAGCTAGAAGAGGTTTGGTTCTGAAAAGGTATTTTTCCGTCGTGACACAATAGACTTAACACGAATGTTCGGGGAAGTGGGAATATTAAATGAAGCTTGGAAAGGTATCTTTTACTTGCTGAACTAATTTTTGAACAATATGTATCATTGGCAAAGGGAAAAAGGGAATTTTAATATAGTTTTGGTGGGAAAATGAGGCATATCTTACTTAAAAGTGGCAAGTATTTGAATAACTGAGTATTTTGTTGTGACAGCAGCCGGTATCGTCACGCAACGCAAATTGAACATTTGCCTAAATTTGAGTTGAAACCTTCAATTCTGAATCGCGTTGTGCCACAAGTTTTACTGCATAACTTGACAAAATAGCTATTAATCTTTAACTAAAACATGTTTTTAGGTCTAGTTTAGGTGCCACTTTTGAGAATTTTGAGATGTTTTTGAGGCATTTTCTCGTGCAGTTTGCTTTCTTAATTGGATTAGCGAAATAAAGACGACCAGTTTTTGCTGATTACAGAAAGATAACGGCTAGACGGTATTGGAACAGTAAGAAGAAGTAATAAGCTTCCAAATGAGTGCAATAGTCTAGGATTTGATGACCCGAAGAACTTTGGAACGATCGTTAAAAAACCTGTAAAAGGGCATCTAAAATTTGCATATTTTAGCCGCTAACGGTCGTCCAGCAATGAAATGGTGGGAATGGCAGTAAAATAAACAATTTCCTCATTCTAACTGCAATTTCGTTATCAGGATGGATAGTAGTGTTGATGGTAAAATTATGAGGCAAAAGTTTTTTCGAGTCCAAAATCGAGTGGAACGCTTTTAGGGAGACTGCCTCTTAAGATCCGATATCCAAACCACTGTCACGGTAGTGATTTCCTTTGTTTCTCTTCGTGATTCAGTATTAACGAGTTTGAGAAAGTAACTTGAAAGGTAGCCTGCGAAAACATCCGTTTCTCCACACTCTTCGCCGATGGGGACGTTTCACGCGGAGGAACTTCGATTCTGCGACTCAGCGACAGAAATTCCATACTGATGACGTAAAATCTGTCCGGAATCCGGTCAGAAGCGCTGATTGGTCGACGGAGTAGTTTCATTGTTTTAGCTATTGTTTAGGAATGACAGACAAAAGACAAAAGGCCACAAAGGTTAATGTAAACGCGAAGAATCTCTAACAAAACAGTCAATATTTGTGGAATGTCTCTTGAAGAAACATTTGAATTTTGCTGGAGCTCGTTGGCAGATGAACACAACACTTTACCAATAAAATCGACCAGAAGACAAGTAAAA